TAATTCCAAGCTTATCCCAAATCAATTTAAGAGATTAAAACACTAAACAGAAGAGAAGAGAAGAGAAGAGAAGAGAAGAGAGTGACCTTATCATTGAAAAAGGGTGTGTTTTCGCCATCTCTTGTACATGACATTGCATACGTCTTTGGACAATCATCTACTTCAATCGTAAGCAATGATGGACATTCCAGAGTTATATTTCCCATGCAAAAACTCTTCAACTCTGAACATGACTCCAGTCTTATCGTATGAAGCTTTGGTAGCCAGACTGTATCCATCGCAGTTTCCTCTGCTTCTTTCTTGATAATGTACTCCATCATGGGACATCTTTTCACTCTTATTACTACCAATCGCACAAGTTCCAAGGCCATGGAAACGCTAAATATGTATTTCAAGCTATTACAGTCCTCAACATCTAAAACTTGTAGGTTCTTGAAATCTACACTTTTCTCCTTCCATATTGAATTGGAAAATTCGGAAAGGATCAAATGACGGATGCCTTGGTACCCAACCTTCATTTAGTAATCAAACAGAGAAACAAGGGTTAAAGTTCATAAAGGATTCAAGGTTACAACTAAACAAAACGAAAGGAAGAAAGAGATTCAGGAATAAAATAGAATATAGCTAAAGCTAAATTAAAGGAATGCAAAATAGTGAATACCTTTTTTGAATTCAATTGTTGGACAGTGCTGTCAAGGTCACCACTCCAATGTTCTTTACCTTCTCCATATTCTACACTTTGCAACAACGGCGCACTTAAAACTCCCTTACAAAATATCTCCAACTCGGGACAGCCACTCACTATCACTTGCTCTAAACATGGGAATCCAAGTGTGTGGTTGCCTGAACAAAAGCTCTTAAGTCGTAGTAGATTCACAAGTTCCAAACTTTTCAACCTGCTGAATATAATGTCGCACGTTGCTTCATCTTCCCCACTTCCAACTATTTCCTTCATTGAAGTGCATTCCCCTATGATCAGTTGTTTGAGTTGAGACAGACCCTGCACTGCTAGACATGTATCCAAGTATTTCATTCCTTTGCAACTCCACACCTTCAAGGTGGTGAGATTTTGAAACGATGCCGAGGATGATCCTAAGCTCATCAGATTCCAACAATAGCGAATTTCAAGAGTTTCAAGGTTGGGTAGAATGCGGTCCACTTGTACGTCTTGCTTCCACAAGTAATGTTTCAGATTATTAAGATTCGTCAACACTATTTTTCTAATTGTTGACAGTGTCCTAGCATAAGTCCCCTTATTACCAGTATCTCCTTCGGTATAGAATAACTCTTTGATTTCAGAATAAGAGATACAAAGCTCTTCTAGATTGTAGAATCTTTCAAGGAAAGAAATTTGGAAATCATTAAATGATTTACCAAAGTTGCCTTCCACCTTGAAAGCATTTATTTGATGGAAAAGGTTGTTTGGCAATTGACCACCACTTATCATTGCAATGTAATCGGCACCGATTTCCAGACGTTGTAGTTTAGGGATGACCTGAAAACCAAACAAAAAACAATTTTGGAGTCACTATGTTCATCTTCCTATATTAAGATTTAATATTTTAATTAAAATAAAGCAGAACATATAGAGTGGGAAAACGGCAAAAATGAGAGTTGATAGAGAGGGAAAAAGAAACAAAAGAAATTTATTTTTATAAATACAAATTGGTAACAACGTGTCAAATATCAAATCACTGAATTAATATTTTAATTAAAATAAAGCAGAACATATAGAGTGGGAGCGAGAGGGTTTATACCTTTTCAACCAAGAAAAGTGGTGGTTGGGAGTCAAGTTGTTGGTTGTGAGTGATGAGTTGTGTACCAAATATCTTCATTTCCCCACACTCGTATGCTGTTAACTCTTTTAACATTGGCCACTCTGTGGTATGCCTACCTGGGTAGAAACATTTGCATTCTCGTAGACACCAAAGCCAAAGGTAGGACAGCTGATCAAACTCGAAAGTGACAGTAGTTTCCGAATCCAATCCTTCCTCTACTTTGCAAATAATCTCCTCCACTGGACAACCCATTATACTAAGACTACTGAGTTGTGGGAGATCTCTGGCTACTGAGGCTGGAAATACATTCTTCAGACTCTTACAACCCCAAACAGATATTCGATGTAGATTTTTAAATGAAAAAATGTCTTTGGGACCGTTTTTCCAAATATATTTCAAGTTTGCTAATCTTGTAATGCTGATTTCTCTTAGTTTGGGAAATGAATTTGGTGGAAGTGGGTTCTCCCATATCATCTTCAACTTTCCCAAATCGCGAGCCCGCACTATCTCCAAACTGGGAAATGAAACCTGCACTCAACATGTCAAAATAATGAAATTAGGAGCTAGCGCTACAAATACATATATGAGTGCGCGTGCGTTTGCAATTATATATATATATATATATATATATATATATACATACATACAAGCAGAGTCGAAGCTACAAACTTTCGTGGAAGTTGTTTTGTGGACCGTATCATCTTCAATTATGTATTAAATAATTTGTTATATTTGTTTATATTTTGTATTTAATTTAAATTTTATATAATGTAATATATGAAAATATTTTAATTATATCTTATAAAAATATTAAATCAATTTACTCTATCATGGTTTGATAATATATAAAAATCAGGAATTTAAGAATGCTAAAAATAATAATTAAGCTACCTTATTGTCGAACAGAACATGATTAGAGAAGCATTGGTTGCCTTTCATTGAAGATCTGTATATGAAACCCTCCAATTCTGGACAGTTGTATACTATCAGTGACTTCATGGCCGAAAATTCAATAACTTGAGTTTGGTAATCGGAGCAAAATCCAATCAGATGCTGAAGATCCTTTAGCACTAAAGACTTTAGCTGAGGAAATAATGATAAAGTCATAGTAGCCTGAGCTTCTTGTTCTATTTCCGCCATGAAAATGATCTCTCTTAAGCAATAGCACCCGATGATCTCAAAGTCTGTGAGATGCACTAGACATTTAGCCATAGAAAATGAGAATAGGTGTTTTAAGCTTCCACAACCCTCGATTTTCAATCTTGTCAGCTTCTCATAAGTGCATAAAGATGTACTTGAAAGTTGGTTGTGCCATACCCTTGTAACATTAATCGACTTCAGCTGCAAATTCTCCAAAGAAGGGAATAATATCTACAACCATACAAATGATTTCAGGAAATATTTGAAATAAAAATTTAAAATACATTGAATTGTAAATACCTTTCCATTGAAAAGTGGCAACTCATGTTGAGGTAATGAGCTGGTAGCACCGGTTTCGTGTTGAGGGCAAAAGCTAATGAGCTTAGGAAGATCATGCAGTGTCAGGGACTGTAATTGAGGAAACTCATATTCATCATTGATAATGTATTGAGTATCATAACCATTTTGGATATGTAGATTCTTCAAATGCGATATGCTTTCTTCCTCTGTTAACTCCTGCAATGCAATCTTCACACCTTTGAGTTCACCCAAATGTAAATCTTCCGTTTTTTTCAACAACTTCTTAATTCCAAGATCCAAATCATCCATGCCTGTGTTCAGCCTGAGTTTCAGGGTTCTTGAATATTGGTACTTGCGAAACCGCTCCCACTCCCATTCCTCTCCAATGAAAATCTTGTATCTTTTCAACTTCTGCAACACTTGAAAGAAGTCGTGTGGTGCCGCCTTAGCATCCGGGATTTGAACTTCTAAGGTGGACAAACGAGACAGCGGATGTAGATCAGCAAGAGTGGCACTGCTTTCTCCCCATTTAATAAAAGTCCCACCCATATATAATTCTTCTAATCTTGACAAACTTGACAACACGCCGTCTGAAATTGTTTTGAGCTTAGCACAACGACTCACGTCCAACAACTTTAGCTTCACCAGTTGCCCAATTTCTTTTGGTAGAAATCTAATATCAGATTCCAAAAGGCTAAGAATTTTCAAGCTCGTTAGCTCTCCAATAATGGTAATATTATCTCCCAGTTTGCAGTGATCTAGGCACAACGTGCTGAGGCTTGTTAGTAGACGAATTGATGAAGGTAAAGAAGAAAATTGCATCCTAGCCAAAGCTAAGATTTTAAGATTTGTTGCTTCCTTGAAGAAGTCATCCGACGTCAGGGAAAGATCCTTGCTATACAAAAGGAAAAGAGAAAGTTGTGGACAATTCAAATGGTCAGGAAGCCTGTTGATAGTAGGATGTTGCAAACAAATCTTGCTGCACTTCTTCATTGACTCCGCATCTGGCCAATCCGTCAGAACATCATCTTTTTTTAAGGCAAACACATGATTGTCCTTGGAAGCCATTGATTTTGCCACAATGTAAATAAGATCATGCACATCAAAGAATTGATCATTGGTGTTACTATCGCGCAACAAACAAGATGCCTTCAGGGTATTCATCATTGTTAACAAAGCATCTCGTCCTTCTTCCAACGTGTCGACTCCCTTAATTAAACCCAAACCAAATGTATATCTCAACAAATCTTCAATTCTAGTATCACGACGCAATAGACTGCAAAGCAGGAAAACCTGCTTGAGGTCTTCACCCCGTAAATGATTGATACTCAATTCAATAGCAGAATATACCTCAGCAGATATCTCGCTCGGGTTTTCTGAGTAAGGCCTTCGTAATTGTCGTAAAGCCTCCTTCCAAACAGATAAACTTTGTTTTTGCAACGCCCTAGCAACTGTGGCAATGGCAAGCGGCAATCCTGCACATCTTTTGGCTACCTCAATTGCTGTAGATCGAAGCTCATTATCTATTTCAAAACTGTCTCCGGACATCTTCTTAAAAAACTCCCATGCTTCTTCGTCCTCTAAATCACCAAGCTGGAAAGTCTTGGTAGCGCCCATCCCATTGCTTAGAAAATTTTTATTTCTTGACGTCAATAGTATCTTGCATCCTTTGTGTTGACTTCCACATGGAATTCCGACTTCCGCTAGATCCAGTTTCTTCCAAATATCATCCAGAATAATAAGAACCCTCTTCTCCTGATTCTTCTCCTGATTCTTCTCTTGATTTAACCTTTCATGTAATCTACTGGCTCTTACAACTGTACTCTTTCTTCGATCTTCAAACCCAACGATTCTGCTATTTCGTCTCGGATTTTCTGAATGTCAGGTGTCTTAGATACAGTGACCATAACCACTGAATTGAACAACTTAGCCTCCTGGAGCTGTCTATGAACTTCTTTAACTAGTGATGATTTCCCCACACCAGGCATCCCGTACACTCCAATCATGCTCACAGTAGAATCTTTCAGGGATTCCATGATATCATTGAAAACCCTTTCCCTTGATTGAAAAGCCTCAAAATCTGTATCCAATATGGGTTGTGGAAGATCATGGTAGCCCACGCTGCTAAATTGACATTCTTTGATAAGCTCATCAAAAGTTGCGGCATCTTCTTCCGCTGTCCTGCTAAGCTTGTGTCGACACTTGATGTTGGGACAGAAGCCAAAGAAGCACTTGTTGTTTGCTTTGACTTGAAGATCATCCACTTTATGCTTGTCTTCAGCGATAACCTTGTCCACTCTATCGCACCAACCTTGCACATCCGCTTTAATCTTCTGCACGTTCCTTTCTGCAACAACAATATCTTGCTGCACGCTTGATCTTTTGTCAATCAACCTCTGAAGTTTGTCCTCGAAATTCTTGACGTATCTCTGGTAGAAAACTACATATCTGATATGACGTTTTGCTTCATGAAATACACCCTTTGCAGTTTCAGAAGAGATATTGGCAGCGGCACCAGTAGCAATTGCTTCCATTTCTTTTTTTTTTCTTTTTCTTTGGGGAGGTCCGAATGGAAAGCAAAACAAACAAAATGAACGATGGATACAATAAAGGCGAATCAAGAAAGAAAATACTGAGAAGAAGCAGGCAAGAAAGAAAAACCTTAAAAACAGGGAATGAATGAGACGAAGGTTAATAGGTAAAACTTGACGATTAAATGAAATTTGCAGAGGATTGACACACAGCACCAACCTCATATATAAACGTTAAATGGGTGGGTAATGTATGAAAAATATCATCAATTAGACAATTACTTCCAAAAATTGAAGTCAATAAAAATAAAGAAAGACTAAGGACCTTTTAAGTCTTTATCAATTACTATTATCCTTCTTTGTTTTTAGTTTAAGTTCAAGTCATTATTAAATTTTGAATTACAGGTCATTAGCTTTTTCTTTTTCTTTTGAGAATTAGTGGTTGTGGGATCCAGTCTCATGGGAGCAATTCATAATACTGGAGGTCTTCTACGGAAGTTGCTCTCAACTTGGCGTTGGGGGCAACCTACTACCCTACCTCCCCTTACCCTATTAAATATGGAAATAGGGTCAGCTTTTGAGAATTAGTCCTAGCTTTTATTAAACATATTAAACAAATAATTTTCAGTATTGAGAATTTTTTCAAACATTTCATTCAAGTAAATTCAAAGGAAAATACTAATGAAATTGTTCTGAACACTCACTCGGAACAACTGAATTTCCAATCAAATTCAGTAACCCTTGGGCTGGATGATTTCTTTCATAATATTGAATCAAATGAGGTAGAGAGAGAGATTAAAAAAAGACTAAGCACTAAGTATTTTGTTTAATGTTTGTTTTATTGTCTAGTGGATGTTTGTTCGCACTAATGTTTGTTCGCTTTGTGGAAGACACCTTTACCACTTGCAAAAGCTGTAATAGTCAAAAAGGAGCGGCTAGCTCACATGGCAATCAATTACCAAAAGTCTTGCGATCAATTTGGATCTCAACCCCATCCAATTCACAATTAGCGAAATTCATGGCTTGTGGGAGCAGCTCACTTGATGCATGATCAAATATCACACCTCACATTGATTTGATATAAAATTGTTATCTTTCTTTTGTTTGGTATATACAATTGTCAGATTCTTTCATTGATTTGTTTATTTTCATTCGATCATTTCGCACGCGCAAATGTGAGAATGGGAGGAAGTTTGTGCACTATTACTTGGTGCAAAGTTATTTATCAAAAAAAAAAGTTGGGAGAAAAAAAATTATAAATATTTTTAAAATTATGATAAGAATTTTAAAAAATATATTTTAAAATTTTAGAAATAAATAAAATATTTATCGTTATTTAATAAGTGTTTGTGGAATTATTTTTCTTAGTCTTTCTTTAGGATTAATTTTCTTTTAATTCCCAATCAAATTCAGTAACCCTTGGGCTGGATGATTTCTTTCATATTATTGAATCAAATGAGGTAGAGAGTAGGGATGGCAACGGGCCGGGTTCGGGCCGGGTATTGGTCCCCCGTCCCCGTCCCCGTTTAAAAAACCGGTACCCGTCCCCGTTTAAAAAATCGTGGGGATTTAAACGGGGATCCCCATCGGGTAATCGGGGAAAACCGCGGGGAAACGGGTATCCTTGTTTAGCATAAACGTTTATTTAAACGGGTATCGATAGGGTTGTTCATTCGGTTAATTTGGTGGCCGAACCGACCGAACTACCATTAACCGAATTAACCGATTTTTTTTCTTTAACCGTTAATAGAACCAAATTTTTTTCGCAAATATTAACCGAACCGAATAAATTTCGGTTAATTCGATTAATTTTTAAATTAACCGAAATTTTTTAGAATTTTCGATTTTAATACTAGAGAGTAGCTGTTGTTCCATTTGCTAGGGAAGAACGTGATGTTGGTATAGGTCCCGAGACTGATTTTAATATGGCTAATTCACATGCTTCGCTTTGTGAGAGGAACGTTAAAGCTTGTGTAATGGAGACAGCTTGTATGAGGTTATTGAAATGCGAGGTGAAAATGAGGGTTGCTGTCGAAGAGACGAAGACAATATGCCAGTTGCATTGATTTTAAATTCTGCTGGACATAATTTCCGGCTTGCCAATGCTAGTGGTGGGCTTCAGGTGTGTAATGGTGTACTGGACGAAAACCCTGCAGCAAGTACACATTCGTTGGAAGTGACACAATACCAGAAAACCAACCAGACTTTTCCCATTTAACTAGACAATGTTTGTCTATTAAAAGATATTAAAGGTTCACACGTGATTGCAAACAAGAAGTGTAAACACTATTTTCACTATTAAAAGAAAAAAGAATATTATGAGACAACGAAAATTGAGGTAAATTTTAGAAATTGAAGCGGGGACGATGTTTTAAAGTGGGGCAGTATGGGGTGAAAAAAATAATAAAAAATATTTAAGGGTTAATTTAAAATATGTTATTAATATTATATATAAAAAATAATTATTTTTAATATTTATCGGGTCGGGTATCGGGCCGGGTAATCGGGTAATCGGGGCTGATTGCTGTGTATCATCCCCGAACCTGACCCATTAAATTCGGTTTTCGATTTTCCCCGTCGGGTTCGGATTTTTTTGCCATCCCTAGTAGAGAGATAGATTAAAAAAAGACTAAGCACTATGTATTTTGTTTAATGTTTGTTTTATTGTCTAGTGGATGTCTGTTTGCATTTGTTGATATCGTATGAAAGTTTCCGTTCATTTCAATTGTTTATTTTGGGTGCTGATTGCTGTGTTTGATATTTGGTTAGTGGGAACACTCCGACTTATTAGTTAAATTGTAATTAATACAAGGCATTGTCAACTTATGGATAACATCACTAGCCATCAGCATTTAGTGAGAATCTTGTGCAGATAACTTGCTTTTATAAATTCATTATCAAGAGAAAATAAGACGTTAATTAAAAACTATAAATAATTATCGCCTCATTAATTGATTTCAGTTGTTAAAAGGAATGTTATTTTATAGAGGTCTTGAATTCGAGTAGTTATGTATATAAGATGTGTGTTCTTATCAACAATTTAAAAATTCTAAACAGATATTACCTTATAATTATCTCAGATTATTTTAAAAAAACTACAGAGAATTATATATGAATCAATTAAACCAAAGCCATATAAGGTATTAACTAGAATTGAGATTGGGTGGACCATTTGTATTTGAATCAATTAAAATTTGTTTTTTCATCAAAATATCATTGTCGCAAGTATTATCATCTTGCTCAAATGACTATAAAGATTTAGTATCATGCTCGAAAGACTTATTGATGACCCATAGAACTTACTAAGCGAGAAATCTTTAGAAATCAATATTTGTTTCCTTACAAAATAGTTTAAACATTGTAGTGATTGGATAGCATGTCCCTCTTCAAAGCTATAACTTTTTTTGTATATTGGGTTCCTCCATTCTTGAAGTTTTGAATATGATTGGTAAAGTATAGTCACAAGATCAGTAAAATCATGCATATGTACAAAATCATGAATGCATCTAACATTAATGAATACTTCAAAATCATGCATATATACAAAATCATTCATCTTTTAAATTTAAAAATAATTTATTGGCAAGAAACTTTGGAAATCGTTTCTGAAATTGATAAAATTTGAAATTTGTTTTCTCATCAAAACATCATTGTCTAATGTGACAATGTGACAATGATGTTTAATGATTAAACAATTTCGTTAACTCTTATGTGTTTCGTTGGTTTCTTTTACCTACCAACTCTCAAAATTGTTTAATGTGACAAATCACCTAACCATTGAGGACAAGAGAACAACCACTTCATTAACTAGCATTTAGTGGGTATCTTGTGCAGGTAACTTGCTTTTATAAATTCGTTATCAACTTTGGGATCACATCACTAGCGATAGCATTTAGTGGGTGTCTTGAGCAGGTAGCTTGCTTTTATAAATTCATTATCAAGATAAAACAAGACATTAATGATAAAGTTATTTTTAAGGTTATGTCACACCGTAAACCGTTTCTGCAACATAAACATATAGTTAATTTTAAAGAATAAATTACCTCGTACCGTCTGCAATATTCGCAACCACAATAACAGCCGCCCGTGACCACAATTTAACACTATGCCTTCCATACCAAAGTCGATAATAAAGTTCATTTGACCTGTCAACTTAAGGCCATTGAAGAAACACCAACTCTTTCACATCATTTTAATGTTTGGCCAGGTTTGGAATATGTTAATGACCTACTGATTCCATCATACAAAAGCTTAAATTGAATAAAATCCACCTGCTCCATCCAACCCCACATCCACTTTTCGGGGGGAAAATAGCACCTAGATCAATTCGAAACCTATCAAGTGGTTCAAGTTTTACCATCCTTGTGTAGATAGTTTTCTGATTTATACATAATATTGTACAATTGTCTCACTTTATATTCTGAAAATCAAAGTACCAAAAAAATTGTTGGGAATATATACATTAATACTGATTCTTTTGAAGACTAGATTGATCATTTAAGTCCCATATAAAAATACAGTTGATCATATACAGCACATTAGTGTTGGAAAAAATGTGATAAATTGGAAACTTTGAGGCATTTTTCTAAAGGTAAAGATGAAGAATCGAATAATTAATTTATTGATTCATATTCTATTTTGTGAGATGTTTTTCACGGTATCTCATATGCTCAAAATGGTTAAGTGATGAATGAGAATTTGATGCTCAAAATAGAGTACACGAGAATTGTATTGTGTAAGGAAAATGGGAAAACCTATATCCCACATTGCTGGGATAACAAGCAAGGAAATTGTTTTTGTACATAAACTCATCTATTAATTTTCGAAAGACTTAAGTTGATTTTTGCACACAAGTACGTTAAATGGAAAATTGTTGTGTAACTTTACTTTATTTTGTATATTTTTTTTATATTAATACATGTTTTATTTTATTTTATTTTCGTCTCATATTGTTATTTTATAACAATTAGTAAAATTAACTACAACATACATACACTTTTTTAAATAGAAGTACATACATTTAGATGCATATTCAAACATAGGTATGGGAACACGACTCTGAATAAATCCTCTAAACACAAAAAGAAATGTTAACAACTTGTTATTGTGCACTGATCATATTGTTGATGCGTAGCTTTACTTTAATTTGTATTTTTTATATTAATAAAAG